CCCTCAGCCTGGAGCCTTCCATGACTTGGGTTCAAAGCAGAAGAAGAAGGGGAAGAAGCACAGACACGCTAACACTTCCTCCTCTGGGGGGAGTGGACTAGTTGATCTTGCGGACCCGAGTATCCTGCAGGCGAGAATGCAGTCTCAGCAGCATCTGCAGCAACAGAGCAATGCCGGACTCGGACAGGGACTGTTCGGTGGTCAGTCGCAAGGTGGGTACAACAACCCCGGCATGATGTACAACCCGGGATACCGGGCCTGGTGATTTTGGTACTGCGACATTTGCGATTTCTTTTCATTCATCTCTTCTGGGGAGGGGGCAACACTTATTTTGTTTTTCTGTCACATTATATATCACGACGGCGTCGGTGGCAACGAGCGGGATGAGGATTCGCGAGGCACAATCTTGATTCCGTCGAGCATCACACAAGAGCCGGCTCCGAAGGAGGAGCCGCCTTGCATTGGCGTCACTTTGCATTTTTGGGCGAAAGAGGGATGGGACCTTCTCGGGGTATTTGCAAACGTTGGGCTCGCTTCGTCCCGTTTGCCTCCCAAGTCAGGGACTTTGCATCGCCAGGGTTATCGGGTTACGTCAGGCAAGCTCTCATCGTCTTCCTCAAGGTTCCCCATGTACGTTAACTTGGGCCCCAGGTTTTGCACCGTCGGGGCTGAGGTGGCATCCATGGTCATAATAGAGCATCATTACACCGCTTTCTGATGAACGGTTTCACACTTTACAGCTTTCCGGAAGACGATGATGGTAGTCTCGACGTAGCTCAAGCCCTCCTGTATATAGCGGCGCTGGCTTGTTGTGTTGCTCCCTCCCCTGACGAGATGTTTTGTTTGTCTTCGGCTTTGTCGCGTACATTTACTTCACTGCATTCCGGATCAAGAGGCTAATCCTGGCTTACGTAGACGATGAACTGCCCTCGCTCGACGAGGTGAGATCAAGCATTGATGCTCTCGTCGCTGACGAGCCCATTGACGCCAACATCCGGCAACCTCCCGGCGCATTCGAGTCACTGGGCCGCTCGGGGACCCCTTCGGTCCCCCCGGGATTCTCTTTCCCAAGCGCCCACCCATCCCCGGCCATCTCGCACTCGTCTCTGCCGACCACAAGTGTGGGACGCCAGACCCCGCCGGTTGCGCCTCCCAAAGTTCCTTTCAAGCCCCCAGTCGCCGCATCCAGCCCGCTCACCAAGAAGGCCATCACGCCGGTGCCCGAGTCCAAGAAAGCGGTCAAGGCCCTTGCCGTCGAAAGCGGCCTGTCCAAGGATATCGCCAAAGCGAAGTCAAAGGTACTGCAAGATGAAGACTTCCCGGCCCTCAACTCGCCCAAGCTTCAGTCTGCGGCACCGGTTGTCCAGCCCAAGGCAGCGGCAAGCAAAGCAGGCGCCTCGGGTAGCAAGAAGTCGTCCGAGAAGCCTGCCGAAAAGATAAAGGAGAAGGCAAAGGACAAGGGAAAGGAAAAGGAGAAGGTCGCAACTGCGCCTGCGTCTACGCCGACACCCGAAAGGAGCGAGACGCCAAAGCCGGAGACAAAGTCGTCCGAAAAGGTGCCGGAAAAGGCTCCTGAAAGGGCCGCCGAGAAGAAGGCGGAGAAGCGCCCAGTCCCTGGCATCCTGAACATCGCTGCGGCAACCAAGGTATCCCAAATCAAGAACATAGAGGCGCCATCAGCGACGGACAAGGCGAGCACGGATCGCGACTCGGCTTTCCCAGCGCTTCCGACTCCCACGCCGGTTTCGGTCTCGTCTCCCGTCGCCCGCGCGGCTCCAAAGACCCTTAGAGTGGTGTCCACGCCCAAGACGGAGGCGCCCTCGACTCCAATCCTGGCGGGTCCTGGTGTGCGGTCGGTGGCGGCTACGGCCATGCGCCCCGAGACGCCCGTCAGCGAGTTGATCTCGGACAGCGCGTCCATCATCTCGGCTTCCATTTCGGCATCGCGCACCAATTCTCCTCCGCCGTCCAAGATTGGCTCTGCTCCCGTGCGGACAACAACCAAAAGTCAGCAGCGCAAGCAGCGCAAGGAGGCGTTGAAGAAGGAGTCGGCGACCATCGCAGCGCAGCCTGTCAAGGTCGAGACGGCTGCTGAGATTGGGCCCATCGTGGGCCGCAAGAAGAAGCAGAAGAAGGAGAAGGAGAAGCCGATCAGCAAGACTGCAACTCCTGCGGCGAGCCGGCCCGAAACACCGCTGGCGACGCACCCGACGTCTGCCAAGGAGCTCAAGGAGCCCGCCGAGGCCAAGGAGGTCAAGGAAGAGTCGTCGGCTTATCGGTCGACGGCAAACGAGACAACCACCTTGACCGACGAGCCGCCGCTGCACAAGGGTAGATTCGGTGACGTGAAGGGCAAGACGGGCGAGAAGCACGACCGAGGCTCCGATTCGTCGACGCCTCGGACCCTGCCCACTCCCGCCTCGGTTCTGCACGATCTTCAGGCGGCCGACTTGGTGCCGGACAGCCTCGAGAGCCTAACCTTCTTCAAGTCAGTCAGCGTCCAACTAGACAAGTCGCGAACCGATGCCAACCATGCGGGGCTTCGGGACCAGGCAGCGAAGAACTCCATGACCCCGACCAAGTCGATCGTCACTGAGGACGACCAGGCGTCGCTCCTCGCGGGCAGGCCTGTCCGCAAGGTCATGGACGGCACGCGCATCCTCCTGACCCCCAACGGCGACTGCATCCGCAACCTCAGTCCCGACGAAGAGGACCGCTTCCTCGAACTCCAACAGCTCGTCGCCGAAGTGACGGCGAGCCCGGCCGCCTTTGTCTCGTCGCGCCACGAGGCCGGCGGCGGGTTCAGCCTCATCAAAGGCCGGGCCGTGCCTAATGGGCCGCCCAGCTACTTCCCCCCGGCCCCCGGCGCCTACCCCTCCGACCCGGTGAACAAGATCCAGCGCGAGGAGGCCATCTACTACATCAACCAGTACGTCCTGCCACGGCTGAACCTCAACTCCCGCGACATGAGCCTGCCCAAGGCCATGTCCACCTGGACCACCGACCCGCGGGGATCCGCCGCCGCGAACCTCAGCTCCGTCGCGCCGTGGCTGTACGGCGGCATTGGCGGCGCTGTGTCCGCATCCTCCCACCTGCCACCGCTCTCCCACGACGACGTCCTCGACGCCGGCGCCGCCCCACCCGAGCTTAGTTACCCCGGCCCGGTCGGCGCCTTCGCCGACGACTTGCACCACCACGTCGGCCCGCACGGCGCCTACATCGACATCAACGCGCAGCTCCCCACCGTCGAAGAAGTCTTTGGCGCCGCTGCCGGCTCCTCAGCCTCCACCTCCACCAGACACCACCACCATCATCATCACCACCATCACCACCACCACCACACCCAACAACAGCAACAACAGCAACAACAACAACAACAACAACAACAACACACCCAGCAACAGCAACACCAAGCCGCATCCTCATCCTCAGCGATAGCCGCTGCTACGGGAGGCGGCGGCGTGGGGGGGATCAACTTTGCCTCGCCCGGCCCCTTCGGCAACGTCCCGCTCATGTCGCTCGAGGACGCCGAGCAGGCGCTGTCCACGGCGCGCAAGGAGACGGAGAAGCTTGAGAAGAGCCTGAACCAGCTGATGCGCAAGAATCGAAGGCTGTTGCTGGCGCCGGGTCATCTCTCTGCTGCTGTTGGTGTTGGAGGAGGAGGGGGTGGGGGAGGGGGAGGGCATTGACTAGCTTGGGCTTCGGCGGCGTCGTTGTCGGCGTCGTCGTCTGGTACTGGCAATGAGACGACCCCCACGACGGCGACTGTGGGGGGTGGGTATGGATATGGGTATGGATATGGAGTCCATGGGCTGAATGTCGGGAGAGGAGTGGGAGGAGGAAGGGGGGGTGCGCGGAGGCGGGATGCGGTCGCTGCCGTTGCTGTCGCGGTTGCGCTTGCGCGGGTGCTGCGGGGGCTGAGCAGCATGGGCGAGGCGGCGTTTGCGGCGGTGTGGATGGCGGTGTTGCTCGTGGAGAGTGTTGTGGCCATGGCGGCGAGGGGGGCCGTTGTTGCGGTGGAGGTGGTTTGTGCGGTTTTGGATTGGGTTGGGGCCGAGTATTGAGTTGAGTTGATGGGGGGTGGTTGATAAATGGGGGGAGATGAAGGGGGGATGAAGAGGGGTATTGGCGGGGGATGTGTTGGATGAGGGCTACTTATTAGGGCTCTGTGTCGGAGTGTTCGGGCTTGTTTGATACCCCCGGGGCGCATGCATGATGTAGTTTCGCAGCGTGTGCCGGCGGCTGCTGAAGTGGTGCATTGCACTGGCATATGTGGGATTATCTGGCGGTAATTTTTGTGTAGGAATGGATGTAGGATGTATTTGCTTGGGGGATATTGGGCCGTTCAGCTGTTGCTCAACGGGATCATCATCCTTGGATTTGTAGGATTGTGTTTGGCGGATGTACCATTATGAAGAAGCGTTGAGGGTAGGAGATAATACATCAGTTGGCAGGATGACCTCGGTGTTTCAAGTAGTGACGGGGGTGATGGGAGGAACCAAGGGTACCAAGGGTACCTAGGTTGAACCGGTGATGAAGAAAGGGTCGTGGGAGGATTTCTTCTGCCATTTGTCGTTGGGGAACGAGACACGAGCGGCATTCCATATGACCCTCGGTGTTTCTTCCATGCTCCATGCAGGCTGAGTGATAGCTTACCACATGACACACCTAGGGTGTAAGGTTGTCTGTCCCTGCAAGTAATAGTGTATGTCAGCCCCGAGAGTAGAGGGATACGCCGTGGTAACCTTTCTAAAGTCTGCCAATAATAACACAGTAGGAGTCGAGAGATGAGTGAGGTCCAGCAGAGAACCAAGCTGAGGGCCAACTCCAGGATAAATAATCCTAAGTACGTTAAGGGTGTGAGAGACGGAGAGAAAAGACAACATCTGCTGTGCACCCAAAGACATGGACCATCCCCAGCAAAGAAAAGGAGAGAGAGAGCTTGCCAGAGTTCGTCAGACACAGGAAAAAGAACAGCAAAAGTAATGGATTCGATTTAGGGGCTCAATCGGGGATCGAACCCGAGACCTCGCACATCTTCTTGCCTGTTTCCAGGCAGTGGGTTACACCCGAAGCGCGAATCATACCACTAGACCATTGAGCCGAATCCATTTGATGAACCCGGCGACCAGAAATGGGCTACATGTTGGCAAATTGAGAAAATGCCTAGCGGAATTGCATTTGGGCAATGCGGATAATTGATTGTTGAGCAGTAAGTAGTATGTCACTTCTCGCTCTAAAATAGAAGGAATAGCTAGCAACAATGTCAACTACACAAGGATTGAAAAGCGTGCTTTTAGTAAGTAATCAGATGAAGTTTCATGACCCGACTTGTCAGAGTCGTTACCGCCAATGGACAACGTGTATTGGCAAACAGTCAAACTATCTAGGTCGAAGGGTCTACAGGAAAATGACACCTGCCAAAGCGATATGCCAAAGCGATCTCCGATACCGGAGAAAGCACCGGCGTCCTGGCGCGTTTGTCTGGACGAGCCTATGATGCTGTTCATCCTCTCTCTGGCCTTTCCTCGTTCCTGAAAAATTGTAACATCATTAACTCTCTGCTGGCTGAGCTTGGCTCCGAGACGTGTCAGCAACACATTGCCATTTGGCAATACAATTCATTTCCTCTTGCCCTCTTAAGAAAAAAGGGTTTGAATTTCGAAGACAGAATTCCAAATCAGCTGCGACCTGAGCAATTTCTGGCAGTCAACCAAAGTTCAATCGACAAACAGACGAAACAAACAAACCCGCCTCCTCAGCATGCAAGCGGCCCAAATGACCAGCAGAGTCCCACAGCTCAGCAACCACACCACTCCGAACCGAAAAATAACACCAAGCCAAAGACACGATATGCCGACAGACAGAGAACCCGAACCCAAAACGACAGGACTTCTCGCGCAACGCCCCTCTCCGACTGATTTTCGCGTCGCACAAAATTCATAAGCGTACGTTCTGCCTTTGATCTCGAATTACCTCCGATATCGCACACGAGACGAAAGTGGGCTGTTGGTCTAGCGGTATGATTCTCGCTTTGGGTTCAACCATGTTCTGCGAGAGGTCCCGGGTTCAATCCCCGGACAGCCCCGGATGTCGGATGACTTTTTTGTGGCTTTTGTCTAACGCTGTTTCATCGGGCGGGGTTGAGAGCGATGCACGTTGCTCTTTTTGCTGTTCATTATTATGATGCAGGTGCTTGCAGGTTGTTCGTTGTGTTCATTGACAGGTCCTTGTTGGGCTGAGGCTACAAGCCCAAGTCGGGGTTGCGTTTGTATTATTGTGTCAATGCTCTGAGCTCAACAGCATCCCGCGCTGCCCATCCGAGTAAATGATACACATTCCCACAAGTTGCCATCACCAGCTAATATCCCTATCCTGCGCCCCCCCAAACCAGCCACACCAATCCGATCCGAACAGGACTAAGGTTACTCCCCACCACCAACAGTCGAATGCGACGTCCCCGGCCTGCTCCCCCCGAGTCTCCTCAACTTCCCGCCCGCCTTGGTATTGAACAGACTCTTGACCCTCCTCAGCCTCGACATCATATCCCGATCCTTCTTCTCCCTCGCCAACTCATCGTCCACCACCTCCTCATCTCCCTCATGCCCCTCCCCATCCGCATCCCCAACCACTATGCTCGGCCGCCCATCCACCGTAATCGGCCGCTCGGGGGTCTCGGGCACCGCCGCCCCACCACCGGCAAGACCACCAGACCCAGGAGCAGGAACACTACTCTTACTCCTCCCATGCCCCGCCAATCCCCTCGCCTTACTATCCTTCCTTTGTTGGCTGCCGCCGCCAACCCTCTCCCGAATAAACGCCTCGTTCCTCAACCCCGTAACAAGAACCTCCCACGCAGCCATCCCGCCCTGCCCCTCCCCCTCCTTACCCAAGTACTGCGTAGCACCAGGGTTCCGCTGCGCAACGGGATTCTTCCACGGACAAAAAAACCGGTGCTCCCGCAGCGGGTCGAGGTGGTCCATCGGCGCCGGGACCAGCACCTCGTTCGTGGCCGGGTCGATCTCGCGCGGCTTGAACATCCAGAGCCCCAGGCGGCGCAGGCAGGTGTGGCAGGAAGCGCTGTTGGGGATGGGGTTGCCCAGCTGCGGGTGGGTGAGGGATTGCCAGCCGAGGAGGGCGAGGGCGAGGGCGGGGCGGTTTATTTTTTGTTGTGCCAAGGAGGGGTTGGAGGAAGGTGGTGGTGGGGGGTCGGTGAAGAAGGTTGGCGGGAGGTGGGTGATGACTGTGTCGAGGTTGAGGGTCGGGGGGAGGCGGAGGCTGAATTCGTAGGGGAGGAAGGCGGCGCGGTCGCAGAGCTCGTCGTAGCGCTGGCGGAGGCCTTGGAGGGCGAGCTTGGGGTTCGGGAGGGGGAGGCGGAGGAGGGAGTCTAGGGGGGTTGTTAGTAACTTGGGGAGTTGGTAAATAGACGATTTGGCGGTGACGTACCATCGCACCCCTTCCTCCTCCACAGACAGTCCTCGGCGTGCGACGCGACGATCAGCTCGACGTAGGCGTCCACCACCGACTCGGCGACCTCGGACGCGATCAGCACGGCGACCTCCTTGCCGTCGACCTCCTTGCGGTTGACCTTGACCACCAGCTCGCGCGCGCACAGCGTGCACTTAACACGCTCCTTGCCGCGGCACGCCCAGCCGCGCTTGGCCCACTCGACCTCGCTGACGCGGTCGGGCTTGGGGGTCCAGTCGGTCAGCTCCTGGAAGGTGGCGAGGCGGCGGAGCAGCTGGTCGCGGTCGCCGGGGCAGTACTTGGGCGGCGGCGGCAGGCCTTCGCGGCCGTCGGGGGCCGGGCTGGCAGATCCCGGGGTCCATTTGCGCAGCGTGACGTTGGAGATGGTCGTCGTCGGCGGCACGCTGCGGATGCTCGCGGGGGATGAGCGCATCGGGGTGGTCTGGAGGGTCGAGTACTTGGAGGGTGTTGTGGGCGGGCCGGCGACGCGGCGCTTCTTCTGGAGGTCGGTGCTGCTGTCGCTGGCCATGGCTGTCCTCGAGGGATGCGGCGATGAGCGCTGCGACGCGGGCGACGATGCGGGATCGGGATCGGGATCGGCGAGGCTGTCGCGGTCGCGGTCGGTGCTGTACTCGGTCGGCGGCCGGTTGCCCATGCCCTGGATGAGCGCATTGAACTTGCGCTTGACGGTGGAATTCATTTTGCTTTGTGCCGCGATGTGATTGCTCGGCCTGTACTGTGCTGCCGGCGGCTGCGCTGCGGCTGTGATGGATGGGCAAGCAGCGGCTGGCGCGGTCGCCGTAGTGACCAACCCCACTGTTTGGTGTCGTTGCTTTGAGAGCAAATTGAAAGAAACGGACGGCGTTTTTGTGATTACAGGAATTACACAATATGTCGCGGCGCCAAACACCAATCATGAATCCACTCAGGGTCGAATCAGATGGAGTTGAGCTGAGGGAAAGTTGTTCCTGCTAATGTTTATTCGGGCCTCGACTGGAACATTTTGGAGCTTAGGACAGTGGAAGCTGCTCCAATTTAGCGCCTTGGCTGCCAAGCTACCTAGCGCGCACCCACCAAGCGCCAAAATGGTCTCCGGGGCCATTTTGAGAGTGGAAAGCCATTTTGAAGCTAGGTGTGACGGAAGGTGCCTAGGGTTAGGGTTCAACCCGGCCTTCCGCATTCAGATTCGCCCATATCTTTCTCAGCGCCTGGCGCCTATGCTTGTATTTTCCTCTTCCTTTCCTTAGCTTTCGATCCACAGAATTGAGTGGTTTTCGCAGTGCCTCTATGCCTCGCATGCAAATCACTCGTCTCTTATACTAGGGAGTTATTTTCAAGCTAGAAAATAGTATTAGAGGTCATTTTCAAAAGAGAAGACATTTATAGTAATAAGATATATATATATATTATTATTATTCCTACACCGCTATGCCTGAGGGCTTGCTGATCCTTCTACAACTAATTACAAAGGAAAACCATGCCTGTAAGGCTGGACTAAAAACC